AGAAGCTTTATTGCTTCTAAGCTTCACTTCTAGAATGGAATTGTCATTAATATTGAGATTTTTCTGTATCAGTATTATATTTACCACCAAATCTAACAACAACTCATACGTATCAGCAAGGGTTTTTGCTTTTTTGATTTGATAGGTTACTGTTTGATTTGTATTACTATTAAAACTAAGTTTTTTCTGAATAGCTTTTATATTCTTCTTTGTATATAAAAGTTGATCATATAATTCAGTGAAAGTATTTCTTATCATGATCATAATTGTGTTTATTTCTGGTTAGCATATATTCAATTTTGTGTCTGAAATACTGATCATCAACCGGAACAGTGATCACTAGCTCAGAAGATTTTTTACTAAGCTATGCACAGCGCTTATGGCCAGATTATGCAACAAAAATGAGTAGATCATCAGTCAGATTTCATGTAACATATTAATTTTTACATATCGAAAAGAAGTTATATGCTAACCAATACCTCTATTTTTTCCTCCAAATAAATGTGAGAAAATGTAAAAGAAGGTTTACATACAATACAGGACTAATGCTAAAAGTAAATAGTACTAGTAAAAGCATATGTTATAAAAAGCTGAGAGACTTGCAATTCTGAGATCACTAAACGTAAAGTTAATTATATGTCTTTCTAGTAAATCTCCATATGAAAGAGTTTGAAGATTCCATTTATATGTGCTTTCATAGAACTTTTGGGATTATACAATAATACTAATTATGCCTCATACTTTTTTACTTTTTTTCCAGCCAGATATAAAGCATGTAGGAATATGTGAAAAGTTAAGTCAACTTTCTGCAAAAAAATTTAAGATATATATATATCAGAAGTTATGTATGTATAAGAGCAAGTTTTTTCTCACTATGGGTCATTGTATTTAGAAAAGTAAAATGTCTGATACTATTATTACTCTCAATTATCTTCTTTTACTTAGTGACACAACTCTAAGATCAGAATTATCAGAAGGAAGTATTACTATGCTTAAAATCTCTATCCATGAAACAGTTGATCAGTTAAGAATTATTATTAGAGAAAGGTGATCATCTTTATTTGAAAAGATTTCTCCTGCTGAGTTTTTACTCTAGAAGATCAATAATACTAGAGGAAATATATCAATTGAAAGTCAAATTGATGAATATGCTTATGGGAGACGTTAAAATGAAATAGGAATGCTTTTATATGAGTTGATTTTTAACTATTTTCTCTAACAATCCTAAAGCTTCGAACAGTTCAGATTAATTCGAAAATTTTTGGTTTGGATCAACTTCAGTTTAGTTTTAGATTGCAAAAATTTTAATCTGAAAATTTTCGGTTCAGTTCAGATTTTTTTCAGATTATAAATCTAATCTGAACCGAAAAAAATCTGAATCGAATTGAAAATTTCGGATTAATCCAAAATTTCAGATCATTTGAAATGATGAAATTATCATTCCAAATGAACGATAAAAGGATTGTTCGATTAAAACGATGAAATTATCATTCTAAACGAACGATAAAAGAATCATTCGATTAGAACGATTAAATTATCATTCTAAATGAATAATAAAAGGATCGTTTAATTAGAACGATTAAATTATCGTTCATTTGGAACGATGAAATTATCATTCTAAATGAACGATAAAAGAATCATTTGATTGGAACAATTGAAATTATCGTTTCAAATGAACAATAAAAAAATCATTTAATTAGAACGATAAAATTATCATTTCAAATGAACAATAAGAAAATCATTTGATTGGAATGATCAAATTATCATCGAAATGAACAATAAAAGAATCGTTCAATTGGAACAATTAAATTATCATTCCAAAAAAATGATAAAAGAATCATTTGTTTAGAATAATTAAATTATCATTTTAAACGAACGATAAAATAATCGTTCGATTGGAACGATTAAATTATCATTCCAAACAAATGATAAGAAAATCATTCATTTGGAATAATTGAAGTTATCGTTTCAAATGAATGATAAGAAAATCGTTCAATTAGAACGATCAAATTATCATTCTAAACGAATGATAAGAAAATCGTTCATTTGAAATAATTGAAGTTATCATTCCAAACGAACAATAAGAAAATCATTCGATTGGAATGATTAAATTATCATTCTAAAAGAACGATAAAAGGATCATTTCAAATGATCTGAAATTTCAGATTAATCCAAAATTTTCAGTTCAGTTCAGATTTTACCAGTTTACGGTTCAGTTCAGTTTTGAATTAGTATTTTTAGGATTTATAATCCGAACTGAACTGAACTAAAATTTTCAGATCAGTTTCAGATTGGCCTATAATCCAAACTGAACTGAACTGTTCAAAGCATTAAATAACCCCCTAATGATAGAATTAATATTTATGTATTTATTTAAAATATCATGTAATAGTGATATATTCGTGCAAAGTGCCTTAATAGCCAATTTTATGTATTATAAGCTGTGAGTTTTGGTAACAATTTATTTTATAATAAAGTATTATTTTATCAGTACATGAGAAATGGGTCACGTATAATGATGCATCTGTATGACATAAAAATCTATATTAATACCCAGTAGTTTCTTTCCTAAATAGAAATAAATTTTTATCTCACTTTAGAACGTAATACATTTTTTATCTGAGCCCAATATCCCTAAAAAATATAACACTATGTCTGAAACTAATACACCTCATACTCCAGCTTCCACCTCTACTTCTGTTATTAGAAATGAAACAGTTTCATTGGTAGACAAAATTAAAAAGTATGATACATCTAAGCTTATTGAGTTTTTAAAGAACCAAAACTTAGGGCTTAACGAGACTACTATCAAAAATTTTGAAAATGAAGAGGTTAATAGTGGTGACTTTTTTGACTTTACTGAACAAAAATTTTAGGATTGTGAATTAAAAGTAGGACTTGTGATGAGGTTCGTAAAGTTTGCTAAAGAGTGTAAAAATAAAAGGTTGAGACTTTTTTAACATACCACAATTTAAAGAAAATATTGACGAAATATAACATTAGTGGTAATAGTACAGACAACATCTCACTATTTTCTCTACAAACCTATGAAATTAAAGACTCTGACAAGCACTTTGACTATTATATGATAGAAATTTTAGTTAAGCTAAAAAATTATAGGTCTTTGGTCATGAATAGTTTAGAAGCTATACGCAATAAATATGTCGTGACGATTCTTCATATTACAATTAATATTATAAGAGATTTTACAAGAGAAGAGCTCAACATAAGATCTGAGTACAAAATAATTGATGATAATAGCACAAGATGGGTCGATTTCACAATTAAAACAACTAAAGAGCTTATGCTAAACAAATTTGAAAAAATGGAAGCAGAATGATAATGACAATTTCAATTATCTCTATGGTATTGTCACTACAGCTCAGGATTGGCACTTCCTACTCTATACTCCAGGAAAAATTTCACAAGGCAGTAAATTACCATTTAGCATCAAATTTTCTGAAAATGCTTTGGGTAGAATATCAAATATTATGTAATAGTGTGAAAAAGGTGTTGAGCGTTATAGTAGGATTATTAAAGAATAGGGTATATGCAAAAGACAATCCTCTCTTAAAGAAAAAGGCTAGAATAGAGAAATATCGTTCAAAAAAATAGGGGTAGGATTATAATCTGTAATCATATAAACAGTGTATTACAGGCTAGGTCTTGAATCTTTGTATTTATTTTTAATAAATTTTTTCTTGGAAAAAGTGATATGCATTTTAAATTAAAATGAACACATAATTTTTTTATTTAAAAAAATGTCATTCATGATTAGGCTACCATCTGAAAAAAGATGAAGCTTTGCACAGTCGCTGTTCAGATTGTTTTCATTAAACACAAATATGATATAGATTTAATGTATCACAGCTGAACTTTTATACGTGTATTAATAAAAAATTTTATGTATAACAATTGATTGTGACAAAATGTTACAGTTTTTCATAACCATCGCATAATATCTTGAGCATCCTAACTTGAAGATAAGTGTTCAGGTGAATGCCCAAGAAACTCTGAATTTTGATCAGAATACTCACATAATTTTTAATTGTGAAGATTTTTCACAGTTGCACCTATGATGTGATAATACAATATACTATACATATTTGAAAATACAAGCTAACTTCTGTTTATAAATAACTTAATAAGTTAGTTGTATATTAATATTTCTTGATTATCCAGCTGAAACTTGATAAATAAATATGCTGAGTTATAAAAAGATGTTAATGAACTCTCTTATCTACCTTGTGCAAGTGTAAATCTGATCAAATTTACCATTATTTACATGTCATTATCATTAATTAACGAACAAGTATATTTTTAAAGGTACATTAATAGATTTTAAGATAATGCTAATTGGCTTTTTAATCCTTTTAATATTATTATATCTATTTTGTTAGTGCAGTTCTAATTATATCAATATTATATCCAAACTCTATTAAAGAATATTTATGGTAGGATATGAAGTAGAATATTATGAAAGCGAAAGAAGTATTTACTTTTTTACTTAATTTTTCTTAGAATATTTAGGCGAGAATTGGTTAAAAATAATGGCATATAGGAATAAAATTTTGGTGTCAAATTAGTTAGAAATTATTAGATAGGTTTAAAAAATAAACATTTAATAATACATTCATTTTATTATTTACAAATTTTTCACTTTAATTTTAAACATATAAATAATATATTTGAAAAAATGAAAATATAAAATGTAAGAATTAATACTTTATTATTTTTTAAAACTATTCTTCATTCTCAGAAATTTCAATATCATTACATTCCCAATTAATTTCAGATTCTTGTTCTTATTTTAAAACTTTAATCTAATTTTGACAATCATTAAAAATCAATATGTCTGCATTATTTTTATCAATAATCAATCTTAGTATCTTACGTATCCTTTTTGATATATTAAGTATTTTTTGATAATCCCTTTTTCTTTTAAAATGATAAGAATAGGCAACAATCATCTGTATATTACGGTTACTTCATTTTTGTCATTAATAGATTTCATGCAATTCATTATAAAACTGAAAAGGATTGAGGTTTGAGTTTTTGTCTGTAAACATTGTATTCAGATCAACAGTTTTACATGCCTTCTTTAGCTCAACATTATTTTTTAACTTGACCTGAGTATTTAGAATATAAGCTTCTTTTTTTTCTCCTTTCAGAAAGAAAAAAGCAATTGAAATATCAGGGCCTGCTATGTTTGGTGAATAACATATTGGGCAAAACCCATCAGAAATATTTCTAGTCTTCTCCTATGATAATATTATATAAAGTCACTTAATATATTCTTTGGGTGCAGAAAGTTTTACAGATATCATACCTACACAATTTTTATCAGATAGTAACAGCTCAGGTGAATTCTCAAAATCAACAGGAAGATAATGATGACTATTGTTAGGAAATAGTTTTTTGTGTGAGGATAAAGGTATATTACTTTTAAAAATAATGTTATGCAATAAATTTATAACACACTTCTTTCAAATAAATCCTGGCATACTCACATTAAAATTGACTTATGATATTATATTAAACCACATGTTATCTATTTTAGTATTATTAAAATAATTAATTCCTACTTGAATCACAAGAGGTTTATTAATGATTCTAGTTAATTTTTAAGTCTTGTAGTGAGTAAAGCCAATAGACATAATATCTATTTCTTTGGTATTTTTATATAAATACAGCCTTCCTGTCATTGCATAATAAATAATTGCTTATTTTAAAAGTTCAAATATAGACTCATAGTTAATATAAAAATGTCACTTATTAAGATGATGCATAAGTCTTACAAGTCTAGAATAAAGACTATATTTTGGATTTCATTGAATTATATAATTAGTTGTAAGACATTCTTTTAGTATTTTAAGTTGTTCTTTAGAATTATAAGATATAAGAAGATAGTGTATTCATGTCTAAGTAAAATGATATCGATCCTGTTTAGAAATTATATTATAAGAACTGAAATTGAATTCAATAAAATACTATGAGAAAAATGATATACCTTTAGCCATCTAATTGCAATTAACGCATATTTTTCTTCAAGTAATAATATATTATATATTAGTTTAAGTATTTCTTCTGAGATTTTAATTTGGTCAAATTGACTAAAAGTTGGAATACTATAGAATAATAGAAAAAATTAATTAAATTATACAAAAGGTTTAGGACTTAGGACTAAAAAGTTTAACTTAAAGGGATCCTTCCTTTATCACGTTAGATGATGCTAGATCTTTTGCTTTCAATAGTAATAAATCAGATTCAGTAATACAAATGATTACTTTTATATATACCTGACATAAAGTTAACATAATCTTAACAGCTACAGTAAAAAATAGTCTCATTATACTTTTATCATTATAAGATATAAATTTATTTGTTAAGTATGAGATGTAAATTTGAGCCTTGTCATAAATTATTGGAAAGATGTTGTTCTTTAGTTTTCTATTAATATCTACCATAATATTAAGACAATATTTTTTAAGGTGTATCACATCACAAGATTCTTAAAACTTTATAGATAGTTTACTGATAAGTTGATTACTAAGCTGAAAGATTAACCAAGATTTGGGCTCCATTGTACAGTCATGTTTCTTAACCATACAAAAGAGATAGTTAAATAAGAATAATCTTCCTGTGATGCAACTTCATATTCTACACTCTGCAATATTTTTTGCTTTGTCAGGTTCAGGTTCAAGTTTTACATTGATTTTTTCCTTCGTCTACTCTGTTGCAAATTCTAAGTCATCAGATCTAAGATTTTATGATTTAGTAATAAAATACAGGCTATAGTCGTGACATAAAAGTTCTAAACATAGGTGAGTTTTATCACAGTCAGAGGTTTCCATAATAATTATTATACTATTAGATATAGCATTATATTTAATGCGCAAGAAATCTTCATAACTAATAAGAAATTCTTCATTCTGCTCAAAAAGATTGTACAAAAACAAATTAGGACTATCATTAAGCATTAGAATTTTTCTTCCATTAATTATATTTTGTGAGGATGTTCATCTAGTATCTTGAAATACAAATAAAGATTATATGTATTTGTCACAACTTTTTCTAGTTCCTGAGAATACGTTTTAAGTAGATCTTAAACTTCTACCTTTACTTAAGAAATCATTTGTGTGGAAGGCACTACATGTTAGAAATAAATTTTAAAAAAGAATGTAAGATAACATGAATTTCTTATTTGAGAAGTAAACCATTGGGAAACACTTACCAATAGTGACGGGCTTTGGTAGTTCAATGATAATATAGATTATCTATATCTTAGGTGGTTATTGATTATGGTAATCTTCTGAAATTTCGTCTGCTGGAAATAACTCTTCGCTTTTAAAATCTTTTTCAATATTAACTTCATAAGACAAACGAGACGCTTCGTCAAATTTACTCATATTTTCTATGTTGATAGAAATATTGACTTTCCATAATATGAGATTGTTTTCATTAACATTGGTAAAAGTATTTTCCTTTATCTTATAAATTGCACTCCTGAGTTACGAACTGAGAGTAATTTCATTAGTAATAAAAATTGCAAATAGGTTCCTTTAAGTGAGAATTTCACCTAGAATAAGGTAAAATATAATATTGTATCTGTAAACACGAAAATATAAGTTAAAAACAAGAGTCAAAAAATCAATCTTTCAGTAAAATATCAAATAAAGACCTTTTTGTATATTTTATATACAATCTTATATTTTTTATATCTTCAGGTAAGAAAATTTTAGTTTATACTGATGAACCACTCAATTAATCTATATCGTATTTATATTAAATCAGCAAAAATCAGTTGATGAACAATAATGATGAGTGACAAAATATTCTAGATACTTCAAAAATTAGGGTTATGATTCTGATAAAACTTAGGTAAGAAATTTAGTTCTCGCTGAATCAGTTATCTTATTAATTACATAATTATAACAATGTTCTTACTATAAATAATACTGTTCAAAAAATTTATCAACACCAAAATGTTTGGTAAAGCTCAGAAAAAAATATAAATTCTAAGTTATGACTGAATTTTGTGTATAGATTTGATAATAACTTATGATGAATTTACTATATTAGCTAAAATTTAAGAATATTATTATTTAATCTAATGAACAACACTTTAAACTTTATAGCAAAAATGGGGTCATTTAAATTTGTTTAATCATTTAAATGACATGCTAATATTGAATGTATAAAATGACAAAATAATTAAAAAAACAATTACAGAGTAATCTGAGGCTATTTATAAAGAATTTGATATGAGAGATCTTATGTGATAATTTAGCCGTTATATTAGCTCAAAACTAATTTAACTGAATTACAAGAAAAATTATGAATCTAGTTCTTTGAAAAAGAAGACGTAATCAAATAAAAATGAATCTGATATTTTATTATCATATACTTGTTACATACCGTTACAAATTGTTAAAATTGTTATAAATCACTAAATTGGCTATAAACATTTATAATTATAAAAATGGTTAGAATTGACCATCAATATAGTTTAAATCTTATAGTAGTATAAGCAATAACTAATCTGCATTACAGATATAATGATGAAATGCTAAAAATGTGATATTTCTGTATTTGTATTCTATTTAGAAAACTTATTGAATATAATCAAACATTCTTCTCAAAGAATAAATATATTCATATAATTGAAAGATTATATGAAGATAGAAAATTTAGACCTGAGAGATGCACATTTTATATTTATTACACTGCATGTGATTCCTTAGTATTTATCTGTGATAATACTGAGAAATGCATAGAAAAGCATCTGAATAAATGCATTGCTAAAATAAAAGAAAGGCGTATCACATATTATAGATCTATATTATAAAAATGAAAAGTAAAAAAATGCTTAGTAGTAATAATATTGATGTAATTTATGGTAATATTTATTTTAGATACAGAAAAAGCTCTGAATTTTATTGTTCTTGTGCTTCAAAAGAAATTAAGAAAAGTGTTACATATTGATTAATTAATAGTGCAAAAATTATTCAACAGGTTTGGAGAGCTTTCAAGTTGAAACCTGAAATATGAGTGAAACGAGTTTGGAATATGGTGAGAAATAATAATATTTTTAACGAGAAGAAGTATTTAAGTATAACTCCTCGTGGTATAAGAATTCTTGATAATCAATATGTAAACTATTTTGATCAAAGAATTCTAGCCAGAGATATATAGTACCTATATATCATCAGAATAAACCTAGTTTGCGTGATTTGTATTATTATTATACTCTACATGATTGGGCAGAAAAGAGAAAGACCAGTTATATATTCGACTAACTAGTGTAACATATATAGTTACTTTTATAAAATTGTATCAGCAAGATTATAGATTTGTTAGTTATAGTGATTAGACTATTATGCTAAAATATCTAGCAAATCCTGAACATTACTGTATTACTAAAGACTATTATAATAATATTGTTACAAACTTTGTTAAAATTTCAGAATACGCGTGATATAAATATAAAAAGAAAGGCAATATATCCATATAATTCACTAAAAATTGACATGTTCAAATCTTCCTATATTACTACTTTTGACAGAGGGTTAACTATTATAGATTTATTTAGTAGATAAGTATTTTAATATTATTTTATTTTTTTACTTTTTTTCAATTTAAAAGATTTGTATTTTTTATAATTTTTTTTTTACTGATAAATTTTTAAAATTTATATATATTTAAATCATTTTTATTAAAATTTTTAAAACTTTATATAAATATATAAATCTTTTAAATTTTTAATAATAATTTAAAAATTTAAAAAATTTTTATATAAATAAAATTATAAAAAAAAAACTAAAATTATTTTTTAATAATTAAAAATATAAATATAAATAATTATATGATATTTTAAATAATTTAAAAATAAATAAAGATATACTGTAATATTCTAATAATAAGCATCTTATAATAAATAAAAATTTATTATTATAGATGTGATAATTAATATAATAAAATATACATAATAAATAATACTGTATAATTACTATAAAATGAGTATATCATTAGATATTTTTTAAAATGATATAGTATATATATATAGTTAATAAATAAATTAAAAATATATGTGTATATCTAAATATTAACCCTAATTTTTTAAGCTAACTCTAAATTTTTGTAGTATAAAAATATAATCATAGTTATATATATTATATATTAAAATTTTAAAATCAATATATTTAAATAAAACATTTTTTAGTTATAAATTTGCATACCAATTTCCTTAAAATATTTATTTATATAGTCTCTAATATTATTATATTTAATCAAAATAGTACTAATTATACTTATACAATTATTAAGTAAAATATTATTCTTAAAATGATATATTTTATTATATTTCTGCTCATTTTTATAATAATATATAATTCAAAATTTCAAATAATTATTTAATTTAAACAAATTGGTACAGAGATACAGTAAGATATCAAAATTTATTGAATATTTAAAATTAAAAAATTGATAGAAAAAAATTCTTTCAAATTAAACTATTTATTTTATTAATTAAATTAATTTTATAAAATAAGTAAAAATGTGTATTATAATGAAATACATATATTTTAAAATTTTATAGATATTTGATCAATAGTAACTTTATATTTTATATTTTATATAATATTTTTTATATTAATATAAGATTTTAATTATAATAAAATATTAAATTTTTTAGCTGTAATCTATTATATTTAATTAATTTAATTTATTTATTATATCAAAAAATATTTTTCTTTAATAGATTTTAATTATTTATATTTATTTATATACAGTCACAAGTTATGAAATATTAATCTTTTTAGAATTTACCAAAATTTTACATTTTATCAATTTGATCTTTACAAATATAAATATAATAAAAATTTAAGAATATATATTATTTAATAAATAAAAATAAATTACTATTAAAAAATTTTATGTTTAATTATAATTGAAAACTTGTATTAATATATGAAAATATTATATAAAAAACTGAATATAAAATTTATTACCAATTAGATATTTATAAAAATTTTAATATATTTGCATTTTATTAAGATGCATAACTTAACTTATTAGTTATCAGAAATATTACATGAGTTAATGATCATTAATAAATAAAGTTTGTATAATATATTATACTAGTTAATCTTTAAGTAAATTAAGCTATATATTTAAATAATAAAAAAAAATTACCATTTATTCTTTATATGCTTTTTAACATGTTTTTATAAAATTTTCAGTTATTTTAATATTTAAAAAAAATATATTATTATTTAAATTTTATATACTTTTTTTCCTATATATTAATAATTAAACATTTAAACATATTTAAAAGCTTATAATTACCATCTAAATATATGTATTTGATAGCTATTTTTCATTTTATATAAAAAATTTTAATGTTTTGATTGCTAATTTTATAAAAACTGCAAAATTTCATTTTTATATATATAATAATAAGATAAAACATAAATTAAATCAAGAAAACCTTATTTATTTAAATATGTAAATATTACAATAATTATGAATCTATTTGATTTAATTATTAATTATTAATACAATAATTCTACTAACTATATACTCTTTTCTTATCTCATTCAGCTCTACAGTTCTGGTGGAAAAAAATGACAATTACAAATTGGCAAATATCTCGCCCAGCTTTTATTAAAAAAATCCAATATTTTAAAATTAAACCCCCCAAATATACATAATGAAAATATAAAAATCCTAAAAATTTATTGTGTGACCTTAGCTTTCTACTACTATTTCTACACACCCTGGCATAGACTTTACAAGATTAATACATAAGTTTACATCGATTGCCTCTCATTCTTCCCTTATTAACCTCATAAAAATTTCTTGTGTAACTGATTTTTTTTCAATGACCATAATATTAACCTTCTTCTCAACATTTTTTTTCATTATTGCCTATAGATTCTCAATCAGATTAAGATCTAGAGAAGAAGACGGCCAATCAAGAACTCGAGGACAACAATTCTGAAGCAAAGTGATCGTAAGTTTGGCTTAATGCTTAAGATCATTATTCTGTTAGAATATCCACCTATTTCAAAAGTTCCAGAATGCTTACTCAAATAAATTTTCAGTTATAATATTCCGGTAAAGCTCTCCATTCATGCTTTCTGTAAACATGTGAAATCTGACAATTCCCTTTACACAAAATGCACCTCACACATGGACTTTAAAGGGTGTTTTACCACAACTCGTCTCGTCTCGGCATTGTTTCTCCAACTTTGTAATGAACTAGCGTCATATTATAAAACATCTGAAATGTTAACTCATCAGAAAATATGACATTATTTCAACATTCTTCTTGATGAGCTTTCGTCCAAGTAACATGACAATTCATAGCATCCTGGGTAAGGAAAGGAACTGAACAAGGAATACAAAC